CAGTCATTTTATTAGAGAATTGGTTACATTTTTGAATGACAGACCCTGACTAAATCAATAACTATTCGTGTGCTTACACAATCATACAATAAAGTGAGATATAGTTGTTATGCAAGCTGGCAGAGGGAGTGAATGATCTTAAAGTCTCTGAATCAACACCCCACACATACAGTAGGAATGGCAATGAATCGGTAGTAAGGATATAGGAAATGTTGCTATCACTAGGATCGAAAGATGAGAAGTAAGAGAAGTTGTATGAGTACCTTGATATGAGTGTGAGTAATACATGGTGTCCAAAACATCTCTAGTGGATAATACTGAATCATTATGCTTTATATCAAATGAATTTCTTATGAGATTATACTGTACCACAGCACTGAATTTCAATTCCTGTAACAAAAGCCAATGAGCATAACGCTGAGGGAAAACTAAATCATAAGTTAATCACATCAAGCAAAAAGTAGTTTTTTACAGTTGCCAATAAACTGAGATGCATAAGCTAATTGGGTTGTCAGAATTTATCATATATGATGATTGAGAACTAAATGGTATTGATACTTAACACAGAGTTTCTCTAGCTAAACAAGTGTATTTGAGACTGTGAAGAACAACATTGAACACCTAAAATAATTAGGCCATAGGTTATCTGTTCTCAGGTGAGAATTCAGCAATCCATGAAATTCTGCTGTCTTGTGATAATCACGAAGGAATTAGTGTATAATTACTCTACAGGCCTCACCAGAAGGAGTTTCCAGGAGTTATTGTAAACGAGGGAGATTTATGTATTGTTTTTGTTGAACCATTTACATCGTCTACCTAGACCCCACGAGATAACGAAATCTATTGGTTATTGATCACAAATCGCCAGCGGCTTCAGCAGATTTGCGCATATTGTTTGGTGATTTTTACTAATTTCACTGAATCAGACTATAGCTCTGCGTTACACACATTTCTTTATGAATATGCTGGGATTAGGTGCAATATTTAACTTCAGCCAGACGTACTTTATTATGAATAAAAAGGTACTGTTCGTAAATCTAGAATTCAGGGAAGATGTATGGGCGAAAAGGCTAAGGAATTCCTTAATTTGTGTTCACCATAGAAAATGCTTCAGAATTGGAAAGACAAGACAGACTTTCATTAATCTGAAGTCAATGTGGAAATCTTCTGCACTCATCATGAAGAACAAAATTAGAACTTCCAAAACTAATGTCAAGTCAATTTTTCTTTATGGATCAGAAACTTTGCACCAACGTCACGAAAATCACTTCAAAACGGACTTCAGAATTTCATCAGCAGCTGCCTTCACTGGTTGTATGCTGAAGATCAGATAGTCAGAAAGAATTCTCGACAAGACACTCTGGGGACGAACCGACCAAGAGTCTATTGTTTAACAAATATTCCGAAGAAAGTGGAAATGGACCGGACACGCTAAGCAGACCATTGAGTGACATCGCGCTCCAGGCCATAGCTCGAGTGGAACTCAAAGAGGAAACAACGAGTTGGGCTTGGTCTGAGGGTGACATGGTGGAGATCGTACAGGGAGGAGATGAGAGCCTATGGACATTCGTGGGGCCAGCTGAAAAGGACTTCAGAGGACGGGACAAAATGGGGATGAGTTGTTGAAGCCCTATTTTCCTCTAAACACCCATAACGTAGTAAGTTATGCTAGATAAAATGTTTTGTGTAGTTGAATTCCGACTCATATCCCCCTTCGCACCAATAACTCCTTAGTACACAATGCATGAAATTATCTTCTTTGACCCTGTAATTTGTACTTATAAATTGTCGGTTGTATTTGGCGTTTATTTCTCATACTGACCTTGAAAGTATACTGTCTTTAGTTATTTCTTTTCTTAATGTGACTTCCACGCAAATTCTTTCTATCACTGTGTGGTTGTGTACTTTTTAGTTTGTTTACTGTATTTAATTTCATTTCTGTTATGTTTTTTATTCTTTTCATTATTCACCGTCTTCTTTTGTCGATTCCTTTTGTGTATGTTTCCTTTTTATCATATGACTAAATTTATTGCCCGATCACCATGTAGTTATTGAAAAAGAAAGGTCACTTTGAAAATTTCAGATTTACGAAAGAAAACATTGTGGAATTTTCAAGTGTTGGTTTGTTGGAATATGATTGGTTTCAGGATTTCATCATGAACTGACATTGGTTAGAGAACCATTGGAAAACCAACAGGGAGTACTGGACAACTGTTTCGTCCTAGTTTGGGACTCTTCATAAGTACGCACTCACCACCACGGTTCGAACCCAGGACCTTCCGGTTACAAGGCGAGCTCGTATACCATTAAGCCACTGGGACCCGATCCAATGGCCCACGAATTCTAACTTCTGACAATTCACGACATAGCGCGACCCCAGCCAATGTCTTCGGCGAGTATTTATCCTCACACCCAACCTGCTGCACCCTACTGGTCACCACTTCTCACTAGAACCCCAGGTAACTACCTACCTGAATAGAGCAAGTCGCTAATGAGCATTTCATTTTGGAATTTCTCCACTAATTGTGTATTTATATTTAATGTTACGTGAATTCGAAGATTTACAGGTAAAAACCAACAATTAGGCAGAAGAAGCAACCAAGACAAAATTTTAAGTGAACATAGAGAAGGTAGACGTGATGATGTGCCTGACAAAATATCAACAAAAACAAAGCACTATCAACGGAAGAAATTTAGCGGAAGCTGCTTCTTTCGCTTATCTAAGCAGCATCGTTTCAATGACAGTCGGTCCATATGAGAATGTCAAGTGCAGGTTCGTAGGAGCGAGGGGAACCGTCATCACTCTTAAATCAGTCTTCTGCAGTCAGCATAAAAAAAAAATTCGTATTTTTAACACCAATATTTAGTCAGTTCTACTATATGGGTCAGAAACTTGGAGCGTGCATTTCCTACAGGCTTCAAACTTTTATGAACAGATTCCTTCACTGGCTTCATACTGAATATCAGATGGAGGGGCAGGAACAGTTAGCAACAAAAAAAGCAATCAAGAATCTATTGCTCAGTAAATATTTCGACAAAAATGGAGATGTATCGAATACATTCTGAGAAGACCGTCGAGTGACATCGCGTACCAGACCCTCGAGTGGAACCCGAGCAGGAAACGACGAGTTGGGCCTGGTCTGAGGGTGATATGGAGGAGGTTGTCTGGGGAGAAAATAAAAACCTATGGACAATAGTGGGACATGGTAAAGATGACTGCAGAAAAGGGGATGAAATGGGAGTGTGTTGTTGAAGTCCTACTGCAATAATAATAACTGTGTACTTTGCAAATAGCAGAAAGCACTCATAGATCTCACTATATATTTAAATTGACGCTTTATGTACAAGTGTAACAGCAATCACATTATATATAATGTCATAGGAAAAAGGCGTAGTACTTGAAAATCAGTCGGTTTTTTTCTAGCTAACATAAATTTGACCTGAATGCCTTTGAATTTTTGGAGGATTCATTGTTCTGAACTGATCATACACGACGTCCAGGTATTATTAAGTCAATGTCCTGTATACGAGGGTTTTCCAAAAAAAACTTGATTTATGGCTATAGACCTTCATTTGGTTTGCAGTTTATTGGCATGGCTATTGAATTCCTACTATTCGGTATTGTATTCCAATTGTGTTGTACTTGTTTTTAGTTTGATGTAGCCAGCAGTATCAAATGACGTCATATATATACTACTGCTCAGTGTATGTCATCAATGAAATGCTTCAAAGACAAAATCTTTGAATCAAAACTATCAAATTCGATAGGTCTAACAAACGCTTTGTTCATGCATTCATTTCTTTTCCGAATATAATAAGAATCGAAACTATATACCTATCATGTTGCCTTTTAGTTGCATTTTTTGGAGGGAAATATCTTCTGGCACAATAATTCACAATCCAATTGTCTGAATACACAAACCCCATAATAAATGCCTAATATTTGTAGGAGTGAAAGTTACCTAGACAGGCTGTGTCCGAATTTTTGAATAGATTACTTATAAATAAGAGTAGTAGCTACTGTAGATTAAGTTGCAAAGAATTGTATTTCTCATGAGCTTAATGGTTGTGCACTTGCAATCGCCGAGAAACTCATGTCATCTGTGTAATCCAGACGTCCGTCAAGCGGTTATTTAGGTCACGACTGATCCCTTGTAGATCTGGACGATGTAAATTAATTAACTCTTGGATTATAACTGATATGAGTAGCTATAAAAAGGGGGAGGTGCTTATCAATTTTACTGTGTCTCTCGCATAAAATATCTGTCAGAAAAGTGTTTCATTTGTCCTCCCGCCTTTTAGCTGATTAGTAGATATTTGATCTTTAGGATGAATATCAGTATCAATTCATTTTACGTTTTCTTACAAAATACCTAATTGTATGTTTGATAAATCTGACTAATTCTTTTGAACTCTGTTATTTAAAATTATTTAGCAGTTTTTACTGCTATGCTTAAAGTACTGAATCTAATCAGAATTTTCATTATAATTAAGGTGCGTTATTTGTACCTTAGAAATAGCATTTTCTTGTTTTCTAAACTCAATAAACAACCTATAGTATTTTGTTTCCTGTTGGATTAATCCATATTTAAAGTTTACATTGGTTACTCCTTAGTGACCAATCATTAATATGCTAGGGGTCATTCAAGACCGAAATATTATAGTGGCATGGGTTCGAATCTGTGAAATGATAGCACCTTCCCTACTTACATCTACACCTTGTTGATGGCTGCCATTCAATTCAAAACTTGGACTCTCACCGCGGAATACTTTTAACCATCTAATTTTAATTCAGAGTCCATTGTAGTGGTTTGTTACCCAGCTTAGTGATGAAATTGCATACTTGACTGATAAAATTTGGTCAGCACTAACAACTAGGACTCAACACAAGATATTCATTACTTTGTGGCGGCCAATCAGTGTTTTTCCTTCTTTTTGGGAGTAATCCCTCTATTTAGTCTTAGCAGTGTTATAACTGTGTGACCTTTCTTTTATTTCAGCGAACTTATGGAAAATGGTGGCGTAACAGTCCGAGTTATCTGCAGCCAATAGGTTCAGTTCCAGAGGATGTTTATTCAAGTGAAGATTATGTTGATTTATACTTTGATGTACCGGTGATACCAGTTCGTTTACAAATTTATGAAACATACAATCCAGGCTGTGTAGTACGCGTTTCAGCCTGTTATAGAACACAACCTGAAGATGGTCCTGTAAATACTCGAAAACTACAATGGATCACTTTGTGGAAAGCGCCTCCACTAATTGTGAACAGTAACCATCGTCACAATCTTGGTGGTGCACATCAATCATCTAATAAACTTCAATTAACTTACCATCATCTTGATGACACATGTACTACTTTAGCTTGTCCAACTGTTAATAGAATACGTTCAGTATCTGAAATTTTCGCCGATAGATATTTACCTGCAATACAATACGATGGAAATTATTCATTTCCATCACATTATTCAGAATATATAGCTCAATCACGGATTTTTCAGCCGACATTGGTATGTTTTAAAGTGTACATGTTTCTTTTTTTTTCTTTCATTTTGTTACTTGCTGACTGAATTTCAGAAACTGAAGTATGTATGCTAAGTATGTAAACAAAAGTATACTATTGAATAAGCATCAAATTCTCAATTTACAAACTGATTAGCAATTTTAAAATTGTGAATTACATTTATGGTGTTACCAGTTCACTTAAGCAGCTAACCATAAGTTGAATGTTTTGAACTGTTTCGGCTTTCTGACTTGAGTAAAGCTGGAGACCCACCGAAACAGCCATCCGGCTGGCTATCAAACACTACTGGATGATGTGATTGGTTGGGCAACTACTCTTCTCAATCAACCAGTAGTATATGATTTTACGCATTGAATAAGGACGTTGAGTGAATAAAATTTCTTTTGATCCGCCTACTTCTGTCTACAGATGGTTATCATATATGCCTTTGATCAGTAGTACTACGTCTAACTAGTAAGTATAAACCCAAGTTTTGTTGTGTCAATCAGTTTAATCTACCTAGTGAAATCGGCAAACTAGTACGAATGTTTCATACTTACTTATAATCTTCAATAGTATAATTTGCGTAGTAATATGGATAGAGTTTATTATGTAATATTAATACAAACTGATAACTGATTTCAGTGTAGGTTGAAGCTGTTGCTCATCTGTTTAGATATCTTACTTTCAATCACTGAGTGAAGAGCTGCAATCATATACCAATCAAGACTGTTAGATATTTCAGATTCTGACAATGCCTATGCATTATTTATTGTAATGGTTTCCTATTAATAAACATATCTGGCTCTGGTATAATAGCCAATACTTTGAACCAGACACAATTGATGCTGAGCAGAAAGGCTGATAAATACTCTTTTCAATCTAAATATAATATATCGAACTAAAATTTCAATTAATTTATTCACTAGAAGGCATTTTCCCTGCTTTTCGTAAAATTATGTAAATTTTTCTATCCTCTGGTTGGTTGTTCACGACTATACAACGTGTGAACATTTTTGGCAAAGTTAACTCACTTTGATTAGTGATCAGACAATCCCAAAAAAATTATTTTTCATATGATTGATTACCCTGTTAACTAAATAAATCTATTGATCTGTTTTAAGCTGTTTATTGTTATGTCACATTAGAAACCAATCTATATCCCTTTATAATGACAAAGAACATAGTGATCCTGAATGACACAGTCATTAATGATCGTAATTCCGTTGAAATAACTAGTTCACCAGTCGAAACAACTGCACTACCTCTTTAACTAGGTGTTGATTAAATGAGGTGACTAGGTGATATACACCTTACTTAATGAGCAATAGGAGTATTGTTTTGGAGAAGAGTTAGTTTTCATCAGTGGAAAAATCACACAAGTTCATTTAGTCATTGATTGTCTTCCATCTCATTATCAACTAACTACCAGTGATCAGAACTACATTTCACTTGCTAAAGTTTTGGGTACTAAAGTGGCATCATTAGACCTTGCACTAATGATGCAGCTCATAAACAAAAGAATTAAACTGTAGGGTGTTGTTAAGTAGCATTTTATCTTCTTTTCAGATAGGATAGTGTGTATTCTCTGGATGAAGTCTCGATTATGCTAAAACCTATTAATCATGAACTTTTGTAGATGTGTGATTTAGAACTGCTCATAGTTGATACATATGTATTTAGTCTTTACTGTCGAAATTATTCCCCCCCCCCACACACACACAAACCTTTGCCCATTGTATAATTATAACATTTCTGTCACTTTTTGCTGTACCTGGCTTTTTCAGCTGGGATGATTTTAAACGGATTCACATTTTGGTTCATCCACAATCTAGTCTTTCCATTGACAATCACGGCATTTCAGTAAAACTATAAAATAGCAGATGCTATCCAGAAGGACGACGAAAGCTCCGCAACTAAACCAACCAGCCCAGAGAACACTATTAATTGCAAAGCAGTTATTATTATTTGCTTGGCTTTCGAGTGGAACATATGGATTCAACAGAAAATCTCCATTCCATCGTGGTCTCTTGCAGTCTTCTATAGCTGGTCTGACGATTCCCTCTAAGCTCCTCTATGTCACCCTTGGAATCCCAACTCGTTTTCCATCCATGTTTTACTCGAAAGTTTGGAACGTGATGTCACTCAACGGTCTCCTCAGTGTATTTACAATCCATATCCACTACTTTCTGTACATCCTTTGTAGGCGATAGATTCTTGGTTTGTTTGTTGCCACGGTTCCGTGTTGTTTATCGTTTCCAGCCGGCGGCCATCTGATCTAGCGAAGGTGGCAGCTATTGATAAGAGTCTGAAGCCTACTGGAAATACTTTTCTTGGAGCTCCGAGTCTCTGAGCCGTATGGAAACATTTACTCGACAGTGGTATTGAAAATCCGAATCTCGCTCCTCATGCTGAGCGTAGTAAATTTCCACACTGATTTCAGAACAGTAATATTCTATGCCTTTCACTTTCAGCCACTTCTCATCAATCCGTGTCTATATACTGTTGATAAATATGTTTGTCTGTCTGTTTTCGACATAGAACTTTGCACATATGTAGGACAGTTCAAGTCGCCACACTCCATGTACCACACAAACCAAGAGAAGAAAGTAGAAGAAATGCATAATAGAGACAGTAAACAGAGGTGTGAAACAAAGGAGTAGTAATAACGAAGAACAAAACAGTTTCATTGGAAATCATAAATCACAAGGAGTGGATGCATCTGAGCCAGCCAGCCATTGAGAACGATAGCTTTGAGCCATATCACTAATTGTCTGTAGCCATTGGTTTTTACCAAAGCCTCCAAAGCCTCAGGATGGTCGGGGGTGGGTGTCTTGCGCTGCGGGCTAGCCACCCCTCCGTACACCTCTTGAAATGCTCCCATATGACCGTGCGTCTTACATAGCCTCTCCTGAGGAAGTCCTACTCACTGCCTTCACGTGGCGGAGGTGTTTTTCACCGAAGTGAGAGGGCAAAAGCGGATGCCCGGCGCTCTTCACCGGGTTGACTGTCCATTGGATGACAGTCTAGGGGAGATGGCTAGACCCTGATTCCAAACCTCCAACGACTGGCGTATGAAGCTCACCGGAGTTCACCGGCAGACGTATGGACAAAGAGCTTATTGGATGCCCTGGATGTCTGGCCCCATTCAAAAAGGCGTATGAACCGGACTCCGGTCACCGGCTGCCAATGGATAGTGGACTCCCTACTCCACTCCTACTGCCTTGTAGGTCACACTTGGCTGTGTAAAGGCTAGAGCTGCACTCTCAAACAAAAGGCCGAGCGATTCTGGGGACATCACTCGTACCCAATTCCCATGAAACTTCATCAACTCTCTTACAAACATTCGAGATGTTCATGAAGCCGGTTCATCCTCCCGTAGGAGATAGCCGAAGTAAAGAAAGAAGATTGGTTTTTACCATCCCGAGGACCCCAACCCATCAGGAAGTCTACATCTTCTTACGTGGCTGGCTTAAACTAACTGTTGTGGATTTCATTGACTGATGAAGCCATGTTTTGGTTTGACCGCCGCCAGCCTGACCATATATCTTCCATAAGTTGATAAATATTGTCACTCTACAGTATTAGACGTAGTTTTGGGACCTTGGAGCTATGTCAAAGTAATATCAAATTCTATGATAACATGTGGATTGTGGTTTCATTCACATGGAAGTCAAAATATTTCCTTACTTACTACACACCCATACATACACACATATATACGTACGTACATACACGTTACGTACATATTCAGAGGAAAATGCAGTTCACTTTACCTATTAATTCAAAAATGAACAAGTGGACTAACCTTTTTCAGGTTATAAGACAAAGCGCTTTTAGTCAACTGTCATAATATCGTGGATATTTAAACCTTTTGTCATTACGTGTTACATGTATTATGACAGTGACTTGTTAAAATGCCAGTGTATACAAATCACGAGTTTGGCTAAGAAGTTAGGCAATCTAAGTGCCATTTAACCTTACTCTATAGACATTTCTGCCATATAATTACTTTACTGAATTTGCAGAAATAATTTCTCAAAGTTTCATAAGAAAAATCACAAACAATAATAATGAAAGTGATAATTACGGTACAGATAACACCTAGATAAAACTCTTTCAGGTGATTGCAGTGAAACAATGACTTGGTTAGTAGCTTTGTCTCATGACCGAGCTTGTTAGGTACTGGTCAGCTCTACCGGTGGAGAGCTGGGTAAAATCTTGTCACGGTTTTTTTTATCTATAACCTTTAGTCATTGCATAAAACATTTGTGATGTTACATAGAAGTGTCAAAAAACTCTTGACTAGGGTGATATTGAAACTCCAAATATTGTCTTAGGAGAAAGCTGCTATCGACTAGATTCGAGATATTTTATATTTGTTAAATATCAAACATTGTATGGATAAATCTATGTGTCAAAGTAGCTCACTAAGCTCAGTCAACTTACCACAACACAAAAATTTAACTAAATTTATAATGGTAGATATCACATAAATGAGCAGTCAATAGATGAGCCCGAACTATTGTATTGTCCCGCTACGACGTGGTGCAACTAAGTATAGCTAACAATAGTATCGTGTTTGCCACATAAACTGAATTTCCTGAATTCGATTATTGATAAGGTCATAGGTGTACACTTGGATGAAATATCTGTCCAGTGCTAGTTAGTTCTAAGTGGTTCTAAGCTAAGTCTACCTGAAAATGAATCTGATAGCAATGGTTAAATGAAATCGCACTCCAGGCCCTCAAGTGGGACTCGAATGGAAATTGATGAGTCGGTCCTCCGAGGATAAAATTGAAGAGATGGGAGACTATGGGCAATCGTGGACCCAGCAAAAGAGGACAGCAGAAAACAGAACAGAGTGGAGACCTGCTGCTGAAGCATTATGTTCCACTTGGAACCCAAGGGAACAATAATAATTTTATTATTATTTAAAATACCAACTTCCAGTATTGACTGCCATCAACTGAATGACCTTAGATTGACATTAAAAGTAATGTCATGGTGCATGCCTTCGATCGACACGTACCAACATATATGGCTAAATTTAGTGTAGTAAAATTAACAGGGAAAAGTCAAGCGTATAAACTTATAGTATGAATAGCAAAACGAATCTGCCATATTGTTTATACTTATCTTCTTCTATACAGTCATGTGTAAATGTCCTATGGTAATCTGTTCATTTGATGTGTAGTGATGCATAATTGTAGTAAAGCGTCATTGTTTACTGGATTGATTTTACGAGTAGAGTTTATTGCTGATGCTCTTTGATATGTTATTGAGCAATGAGTGAGGATATAAGTTACGGTAAATCAAACTTGCCGAACTTTTGTTCCAATATTCCCGTATACGTACAATGGAGACTGTCAGTTGTGATTTGAATTTCTTCAGATAGTTGATTTTGTATTACGTGCCTATGGGAATGCTGTTATCATGTCAGGTGTTACGTTTGACTGTTTCGTAGGTGTTACATCATCTTTCTTTTGCCCAACTTGAATATCTCTTGTAGTGTTTGCTATCTTAAGTACGAAAATGTGATTTTATCACCCCCCCTCCCCATGAATAATTAACTAATCAGGTTGTATGCTATTGGTTGAACGGTCAACGAGCTTAACGTGTAACCAGAAGGTCCTGGGTTCGAACACTAGTGGGAGCGTACTGATGAAGAGTCTCGAGTTACGATGAAACAGCTGCCCAGCACTCCTTGTTTTTCCAGTGCTTCTCTAATGGAATTCAGCTCGTCATGAAACATGAAACAGTTAATTGTGTCGTAAAAGTTATCACAGTATTCTAAATCAGATAAACAGACTAACATAGAACTTCACTTTAATACAGTGTCTAAGGTCATAGATTAGTGGTTATCCGTCATACTTACTCTATTCAGATTGATGATACAGTATAGTCTCGCAGGTTGAATTGAGTGGAATGAGATTTAAACTCAGTGTAAATTAGTTGAACTTCAAGTGTTTCACTCAGTCAGCTACACCGTTAAACCGACAAACAGGTGTTCAAGTCAAACACATAAATACAAATCAGTCTTTGGAATTTACTACAAAAGATATGCATCTTAAAATTAGGATGAAAATTGTTTTTGTTGTTGTTCTCGAAGTCTTCTTATTTCATCGTAGACATTTCCTCATCAATCTTAGTGACTTCCTGACTAAGATTGGAGAAATTTTTACAAGATACATGAATTCTTCAGGCATTCTGTTTCATGTTCATGTCTAATCATCAATAGAGAGAGAGAGATTTTGTAGACTTACATTTTATTGCATTACACTAAGATGATACTCCTTTGTAGGGTGTTTCAATGCTTCATTATTAGTGTACTTGGTTGATATTGTTCATTTCCGTTTAACATACAAGTAGACTGTAGACTATATCTCTGTCCATATGTTTGCTCATTAAAGTTTCGTTAGACTATCATCAGACGTGTAGAAACTTGTTTGTTGCCTTTCAGTTTGAACACTGCATAAATAATTAAATATACTTGATTTTTGATTACAGCTTGATTCCACACTGTATTTTTGGTACAAGCATGGAATTTTCAGCATGGATATCGGTAGCCCAAATTTTGCAGGCCGACCACAGATATCAGGTGTGCGTCGGTGCGGGCTCGAACCCCGGACCATGTGCATGGTCGGCGAGAGTCCTAACCATTGTGCCACCGGCACATTCACAATTCTGATACTATCAGACTATTGAAAACTAGTATTAATATTTTATTTAAAATATCTGTCAGATTAATGTATCGAGTATTTTCAAATTTTTTTTTAAAAGTACACTCTATTCTTAATATCGATTACTGTTGTAGATTGTGTTCGGTTACTTTTTTAGTCAACAAAAGCATTCTTATTATTCGTATTAATTTCTTTGGATTACCATAGAGATAACCTTAAAATCTCAGTGTCGATTTCATTTCATGAAGCAAAATCATTTACAGAATCATTGAAAACCAGAGAAGACTGCAAAGCTATCTCTTCTTAGTACGGAAATCTTCAGTATTGCGCACACATAACTCCACCAGGAATTGAACCTGGAACCTCCAGACTATGAGGTCAAGGTCGTGAAGTATTCATTCACTTGGGCCGAAATTCAGCAATGCATGAATTCCAGTTTACCTTGGAGGTTAATTTAAGCACAGTGCCACCTAGTTTACCAGTTTACAGTTATACATACTTTGGGTGCTCTGTAGGAGACAGAATTAAAGTGTTTTCACTATTTTTTTTAATAATGATAATAATGATCAAATTAGTAATGGTAGCAGCTCTCATTTTGGGCATTATCTCAAAATAAAAAGTGTAGAATTCTCAGCGTGTTTTACTTGAAAATGTTTACTCCTTGTACAAAGAATCTTCAAGTAGAGTAATATGACATTGGATACAAGACACTAATTAATCGTAAGCACGCTGTAACCCTTCACGACACTTTTGTTTCATGCCCTTCAAAAATTGTATAACAGTAGATTTAATGCTGTCAAAACTTAACCATGGATACAAATACTGACTCTAATAAAGATGATTAGAACAGTGTGAAATGAAGTAAATTTGAGGCTGTAATATGCAGGATGAAAAATTTCGGCAATCAACGTAACTTTATGCAGACTGCCAAAATGTAAATAAATCAATACGAACAAACAACAGATTCACTATTCCCGCATTTCATTTGTAAATTCTTTTTGTTGTTTTTTGTTCTTAATAAATACTTACTGAATTATATCTTTCTATTTTCTAGACTAATGTTAAACCATATCCAACAGATTTAATACGAATTGAATTTGACAATACACGGTGTAGATATTTTACACAAATAGATGCTGTTCGTCTATCCGGTTGGGCTGAATTAGTGAATACATCAAGATGGACAGGTATTGGTCAACTAGAAGCGCCTGCACCAATTACTGATCTTAGTACAACTAGCCAACAACCGTCAAATAATCATACACACAATACATTATCATTTTTCCTTGATTTACTTAGACCGTGTACACCGCGTTTAACAGCATCAACTTATGATGTAAGTGCTTTTATTCCTAATACAGTTTTGAGTAGATTTTCAAATTTTGTTCTTATCAGTAAGAAAAACATCTTCATGTAATGAGGGGTTAGTGCATGAGATCATTATTAAACCCAGAATACTAGTGCTTCGTAAATCCATTCTATGACCAGCTGCTTTTAATGCTTATTTGATGGTTGTTGACTTCACGAATATGTTATTCGGTCTAATTATCACCGTCAAGATTCTTGCATGGTTATTGATTATCAGTTTCTTGCAGATAGCTGTGTTTGAGATGAGTGGCCCGTTTTTATTTCTGCTAATGTCCCACTACTCACTAGGCTGTCAGGGTAGGAGTTACTTCTTGGATAAAAGAGGTAGTCAGTTTACTCAGTTATTTGACTCTTTATTATTTGGTGGATGATGGCTAAGAAGACAATTGAGGACAGGGGTTCCAGTTTATTTTAAACTAATCATCTAGATGTGTCATCATCCCGGTTAAGGATATTTTTCCAATCGATTTACTGTTTATCTATTCAAATCGTCTTTGCAATAAATACTTGCTCGAACATTTTTGCATTGCCAATCAATAATCAGAAACCTTGTCAGTGTCTTCAGTCAACTATACTATATCATATTTCCTCTATACTTCAGTTCAAGAGTCTTGTGCGAGATTAATCTCTCTATACATATAGTTAGATGAACAGTAGGATCTGTATTAAAGCTAAATGTAAATGAAAGTTAGGAATCATCTATTTCAGGTTTCATTTAAATAAAGACCTCTTACACAATAGCTTCTTTGAGATTTTCACTGCTGAAATGAATTCAAACACTTGCAGCAGATGTTTGAAAATTCTAAAATCGATCATAGTAGGAGAATAATGATGGACTGTGTTTATTAAAAAAAGGAGTTTGAAGGTGTTATGCTCATTTTGGTACAATTATGGACCAAAAATTATGCCCAAAACGTCATACAAGAAAGCAGTGTCTATTTGTGTCACACCAAGTAAATAAATATTGAGATATACTCTAACAATGTACAAAATTTACCCTTATATTAACTACCTATTTATTCTCTAGAAGTTTTGCCTAACTGCAAATCCTCTGTTTCCTAAATTTCTAAATTTCTCTCAAAGCGTACGTATACCTCTTTTTTAAGGTATTTGTATATTTCTCAGCTTTTCTGTTGCAAGCCTTGTTTTAATATCTCAATCTGCTGGCGACTTAACAGTGGGTAACTCAAGGGTAGTCTGTCTGTTTTCGACATAGAACTTTGCACATATGTAGGACAGTTCAAGTCGCCACACTCCATGTACCACACAAACCAAGAGAAGAAAGTAGAAGAAATGTATAATAGAGACAGTAAACAGAAGTGTGAAACAAAGGAGTAGTAATAACGAAGAACAAAACAGTTTCATTGGAAATCATAAATCACAAGGAGTGGATACATCTGAGCCAGCCAGCCATTGAGAACGATAGCTTTGAGCCATATCACTAACTGTCTCTAGCCATTGGTTTTTACCGTCCCGAGGACCCCGACCCATCAGGAAGTCTACATCTTCTTACGTGGCTGGCTTAAACTAACTGTTGTGGATTTCATTGACTGATGAAGCCATGTTTTGGTTTGACTGCCGCTAGCTGTTTTCCAGCCTGACCCTATGTCAGTCAGATAAAATTCCCTGTCGAGGAAGGTGATGACTAAGCATACGTAACACATGTCCTAACCATCTCAGTCGATGTAGCTTCACAGCCGTGTCGATTGATTTTTTCCTCTCCTTACCTAAAACTAGACGCCTAACCTCAATATTGCTCACCTTATTATACCACAGAGCGCAGGCACCTATGATCAAAGACAGCTAATCTTTTCATGTCTTCCAACTCAAGGGTAGGCGAAATCCAAAGTTTCCAAGCTATCATTCTACTTGTCTCCTTTATGAGGTAATCATTAATTAATCATTCTCCAATTCGACTTTGCTTACCTGTGCTTGCTTGTGATAAGTTTGAGTAGATGTTGTCAGTTGTCACCACCTAATGCATCTGTTTGATTGTAACTGTTGCTTGTCATGCATTATCATAGGATGAAATTAGTTTAAACCTAAGTTGCATGCTCTGCACGTATAATGGAAGCCTACATAAGCCAAGTTTTGGAAAACCGTCTGTCTCTGTTTTTACAGAAGATTGGCAATGATGATGTTGCAAAATTGTCATGTGCACTAAATTTCTGACTACTAAATCTTTTTGATTGCCGCCATAACATCTTCATCATTGAACTAAAGTTGGGGTGATTTTCGTGGGTTGACTGGGCTGTAGCCATTTTTCTACTCCTTCCAACAAATAAACGGTAAGCTTGTTGCAAATCCTCACTATTATCTTGAATACTTCTTTACTCTTGGTGCATTTAGTAGGATAACTACGCTCTTTAACCTATATACTCTGCATTATGTCGGTGTTTACACTACGTACTATAGGTGACCTGTCTTTAGCCTTATTCTTTTCTTCAGCCGACCCTTTTGGAAAGTAACGATTTCGAGAAAGCATTTCACTCAGTATCACTCAATAGTATTATTACAACAGGAATTTAGGACATCAGCGTAGCAATATCAGTTGCAATTAAGATGGAACTCTAAAATACCTAGTTACCTGCGTTATTATTATTATTATTGATTGTTCATCCATTGGGTTCTTTGTGGAAGAAAGGGCTTAACCACCACATCTCCATTCCCCTCTGTTCTCTTTTGTCTTTTTTAGTTGAGTGCACGACTGCCCATGAGCTTTTACTTCTTCCATGTCTGGATCTGGACTTCACCAATGATATATGTCTGATTTCTCACAAACTGGAAAATATACAAGTGAAAAGCAACAAGTTGACAGAGGAAGCATGAAAAGATAGACCTTAAGGTGAACATAGAGAAAACAGAGATGGTGAAGATTCCTGGCCAAAGGCTACAACAGCAAACAGAAATCAGCATAAATGGGAGGAGTCTGAAAGAAGCAACCTCCTTTACCTACCGACATGGGAAGCATCGTTTCAACTACAGGTGGAACCGATGAGAATATCAAAACGAGGATAGGGAAATCAATTCAAGCTTTGATTACTCTCAAGTCTGTGTGGAGATCAACAGCACTCAGCATGAAGGAGAAATAAGATCCGAATTTTTAACTCCAATGTGAAGCCAGTCAGTGCTACTATGCGGATCAGAGACTTGGAATCGTGTAACGAGGGCCTCCTCAAACAAACTACAGACCTTCATCAACAGCTGTCTTAGCTCAAGAAAAGACCAGCACCAGGGAAGGATCTTTGTGAGCGAACCAACCAGGAACCGATTGTGCAACAAATATGCAGGAAGAAATAGAGATGGACTGGCCATAGTTTGAGAAAACCATCAAGTGACATCACACGCCAGGTCATCGCTCGAGTGGAAACCAAACAGGAAGCGGCGAGTCGGTCATCCGAGGGTGACGCGGAGGAGCTTATGTGAAAGAGACTGTTTCCTTTTAGACTTCTCCGACTGATGGTAGCTGGTGCTTGTTGTTGTTGTTGGTCATCGCACACCTTCATTATATCTGTCTTCTCCATGTTCGGGATGATTCCAGTCTTGGCTAACGCTTCTGACAACTTGTTGGTGACTTAACAAGTATTGGAGTGAATTCCAACTTTTGCCAATTGGTGATGTAGTGCCACTGTCACCCAAATATCATTTTCAGTTCTTACGGATTGAGTGTGCGTTGAATTTAGGAGAAGCTGAAGAAAAATCCGTCACATAAATTGCTTTTCACAATAAATTATCATTTATAGCTTTCAAAAACCTAATTAACGAGTCATATTTTGATTAATTGATGAAGTATTTCTTCAGTCAATCTTGTAAACGAACAAACTACAGTCCTGTTAACGACGGGTAGCTGTGAATTATGCATTGCATTTATTGTCGTTTCAGTCTGATTATATTTCCTTATGAGGTGGATTTGTATGTCTTACTTGTTGTACTAAGAAGTGTTAGTCAGTGTTAATACACAGATCACAAGATAAGTGTGATGGGTATAAATTCCGTGTTTTTTATGTTTTGCTTTAGTTAACTGATGCTTCAATCGATGTATCATTCTCAGATATTTCTCCGGGATCTTCTTCAAATCTATTGTGTGAAGAGGAAACTGATGAAAATGCAATGTCATCAGCCTTAATACCAGTTAATGTATATCGTCAATCCTCTGGTCTCTGTCGTATACCACCGGTTGGAATGAATGCATTATTATCATCAAGTCGGAGTTTAGTTGCACTGCCACCGGGTACAATATGCCGATCATCTTTATTCGGACTTACATATTTAAAAGAGAACGCACTATGGCGTCATGGACCACTAACTCGTTTACCCGTAAGCATTAGATGACTGGTTTTACTTTATATGTAATATACATATACTTTTAAATAAATGACACGTTGTTTTTAGCATTCGATCATGAACAACTGTTGTCCTGTCGGTTTGAATTTAACAATATTTGGTTCAGCGTAGCAATTCTGTCTGTCTGTCTGTTTTCGACATAGAACTTTGCACATATGTGCGGCAGTCCAAGTCGCCACACTCCATGTAGCACACAAAGCCAGAGAAGAAAGTACAAGAAAAGCATAATAGAGACTGTAAGTAGAGGTGTGAGACGAAGGAAGAATAATAACGAAGAACAAAATAGTTTCATTGGAGATCATAAATCACAAGAAGTGGATGCATCTGCGCCACTGAGAACGATTTTGAGCCATGTCACCAATTGTTTCCAACCATAGATTTTTACCGTCTCGAGGACCCCAGCCTGGAAGTCTACACCTTCCTACGTGCCTTAGACTGACTGTTGTAGATTTCATTGACTGGTGCCATGTTTTTGTTTGACATCCGCTAACTCCTTCCCAGCCTGACCCTATATCAGCTAACATTGCTCGTTGAGGAAGGCGATGACCAGCCATACGTAAAACATGTCCTAACCATCTCAGTCTTTGTAACTTCACGACTTCGTCGATTGATTTCCCCTGTTTACCTAGAACTTGACGCCTAACCTCAATGTTGCTCACCTTATTATGCCACTTCACACGGGAGATAGAACGCAGGCACATATGATCAAAGACAGCTAGTCTTTTCATGTCTTCCACTCTCAGTGGCCAGGTCTCACTAGCAGCCATAAAGGAGGACGGAGCGGACTGATGAGCAGTACACCCGCCCTTTGGTCGATAGTCGGATATCTCGTCTACGCCAGAGTTGGCGTAAACTGGCAAATGCGAAACGAGCCCCCTGTATCCGTACTCAGCTGAGATTTCGTCAGAGATCAACCCGTTGGCACTGGCTGATGGTACTTCTCATGTAAGTGAAGCGGTCAACGTGCTCTACCACTTCACTTCCTACTTTTAAACTAGACGTCGATGTAGTCCAGTCCTGTAACATCATCTTGCATTTGGCGGGAGCGAATCGCATTCCAAACATTCGTAGATTGCTGTTCAAGGTGTTTAGAAGACACTGCATTTTGTCAGCGTCCTCGCCTAGAAAGACTATATCGTCTGCATATTCTAAGTCAACGAGATTATTCCCTTGTATCAAGTCAATCCCTGAGTCTCTGAAGTGAGTTAGGGTTAAGCCTATTAGTACATCTATGATGAAATTGAATAGAAAAGGAGATAATGGGCAGCGTAGCGATTGGTTATCATCGTAAACTGTCAAATGTTTTCAAGGTATTTTTAGTTTGAATGATATAGAGATATCAATTGGCATTGTCTGCCGCCTTGTTTATATCAGCTGATGAGTATTAATACTTTGCAGAATTGAAAGTAGATTATAAATTGTCACAATTCGAAGGGAGAAGACGTACAAAACTTCACAGATCTCTTGGCATCTATCTTATTATAATTCTAGGTTGGTAGGACACTTTTAATTCTACTAGATACTAACAAGACTTCAGCTCTTGGAGGGATTGCTTGCACAAAAACAAAGATTTTGAGTTTTTAGACAATTCACCGTATAAAGATTTCAGTAGCCACATCATGGTTACTTATTTTACTATGGTTTATTCCATCGGTAGTGATTTGTGGTGAGAGTAAGCTTCTGTTGTTGCTATTGTTTTTATCATCATCGTAATTTTTTGGCATAGAAATTTCCCACTACAAAGTTACCTACTGAGTTGATCATATCAGTTAACACTCCTCATTATTCGAGACAAACAGTTAAGTTAGTTCCAGTTTTAGAGCTTCATCTTTAATCAACTATTTGTTAGCTTCTCAGCTTGCAAATTAATTCGCCACTTACCAGTTACACAATTTCATTTCAAAATCGAAATTATTCAGGTCGCAATACATAATCTGTTCGATGTCATATAAATGACAGTCAAGAAACCAAGTGTGAGTATATAGTGATATAGACTACTAGTTGAAGGATATGCGTAACTGGATATCACTTACATCGAATTCAGCTCTTTGAGCTGGTGTTTGGATCACTTCAATCATCTGACTATCAAGCGGTACTGGTAAATGTGTGTAAATTCACACTACTCATATAATATAGTCTCTGTAATGAGTAAAGGAAGTACAGACCTAATGACAGTTCTCATAGATGACGAAAGAGAACATGAATAAAACATGCCAAGCGTTTACTGTCACTAATCACCAATATGGCTATATGGATCACCTGCTGAGGTGCAATTCCCTATTAGATATATTAAAAGGAAAAATCTGAATCTACAGTTAATAAACCTATTAATTTTATCATTCACCAACTAGTATAAATCTATTAGAGCAGAAATAGTTGTTACTAGTTGTAACTAATAGTAGAATCTGCCTCGAACTCATCATAGTCATAAAGAAATACCATTTCGACACAATTTGTGGCCCTCATGGTGTTTCAAATTACAGGCGCTAGTTTTGAATATCTATAGGAACTAGTTTACACACTGATATTGGAGTGTATCCGGCTAAATAAATATTGAAACAGGAAAATTTTAGATATTGCTGTCATTATGAATGAATTAATTTTTTACTCATCCAGTTCATGAAGCTGTTAGTCACCTTCTTTGCTGTTACTTTTTTTTAAATTCTTTTTCATTTCGTTTCTGCATCATGATGATGACAATTATGGCAAACAAGTATGAAGTTCTACTTCGTGTTTTTTCTTATTTGAACTTAAGGAGTTTATTCCGCTGTGCTTGTGTCTCTCGGTAAGTTAATACTGTATTTGTGTTTTTGTATATGTCGCCTTTGTTCTTCCTTTTTTTTGTTTCTAACTCCTTCCTAGAATATCGTGAATATTGAATATTGTTGAACATTAACAAAGTCTTCTGTGTGTTCTTTGAGGTTTTTTTTCTTTTAGATAATCATGTAAAATATAATGCCTTTATTTATATGGATTAAGACCAGGGAGAAAGTGTTTTTTCGAATAAAAAGAGATGACTATCAGGAAGTGGTAGCTGACTGTTTCACCTGATGAAATTAAAAAGTTGCGCTGCTTTTAGAAAGTAATGCACAAATTTTGTGATTGTGATACACCGAGTAGCTGATGAACCTTTTATTCACCATCAGAGGGTGGGTGTGAGAACCCACTTGCCCATTTTGCTTGAGTTTTCCAGCGAGTAGGGGAGTCTTTTAAAAAGGATAGCACGTTATGTTTAGTCCATCTGTACCGTATTCTAGTTCTTTCAATCAGTCTGTAATTCATCACATGATAATAGTTGAAAAAAACTATTAATAGGGTACATTTAATTTTTTTCTATACTCCTTATTGTTTAATTCCATTATGGGTAAATTTTGTTTTGATAAAGTCTCACAGTGTTATACAGTAATGTTTACTGATGACGTTTCGAGCACAATTTATTGTTCATAACCATATCAAGGTATTCACACGACTTCCTAACTTCATTTATATAGTTTCAAATGAAGTTAGGAAGTCGTGTGAGTACCTTGATATGATTATGAGCAATAAATTGTGCTCGAAACGTCATCAGTAAACATTACTGTATAACACTGTGAGACTTTATCAAAAAACAAAAATTTACCCATAATGGAATTACACTCTACCACACTGCACAAGTTTTATTCTTATATCCTTATTGTTTAATCAGAATCTTTGTTTTTGACCTTTTATTACGTTATGTTCATTGCGGAATATTAATTGTACTATTATTCCACCTGATACGGGAGGTAGAACACAGACACAATCAAAGGGAGCTAGTATTTGATCATTTTTAATAAGACTAAGGGCCATTATAGGAGGGACGGTGGGGACCGCTGAGCAGTACACACGTCCTTTGTTCGATATCACATCTACACTAGAGATGGCGTAAGTTAGTAAATGTCACACGAGCATTTTATATTCGCCGTGAGATTTTGTCCGCAATCAGTCCATTGGATCTGATGGAACATTTCAGATAAATAGGGTGGTCAGCACGGTCTACCACTTCACTGCTTATTTTTAGGCTAAAAGATAATTAGCAGAAATTTAATCTGAATGACACAGGATCAGGTAAGATAGGGTACCATTATCGCCTCATCATTTCTTACTTTGTGTCAGTATGATTAAATCATACAGTTATACCAGGTTTGAATTACTGGTGCGGTAATTTTCGCTGTATGCTTTTAAGTATATCTTATCTAATACTGTGTTAAGCTATCTGAGTGAGGTAGCCTTGGGGACGCCTAATATTACTGATATAACCGGTGATTATTAAGTATGAAATGGGGACTTATGTTTGTAGATAATTCAAACTATCCGTAGAAATCTTGTCAGTTGTAGTAAAAATAACAACTTGGTTAGCATACGGGTTGAATAGCTCAGTAGGTGGAGTGAAGGGCCAGTAATTCAAATCATGGTAGTTCAAAGCTTAAATTGACTTCTAATTTTCAGTCACTAATATCTGTGCAAGATGAAACAACTGTCCAATGCTGTTCCTGTCTCAGGTTACTTCCACTCAGAGTAGATTCTTGACAAAATCTACGTTTAGAAGATTTAATAACTTTGTAAAGTTTCGTCGCGAAACAAAGGAAAGTTCTGATAAGTTGTCAGATTCTTTATAGCCTTCAGATTGTTTGTCCTTATATTGAAATATTTTGAGGGGTAAATTTAAACTGTCACCTTTGAAGTTCGCAACTCAACTCAAGAACAACAATATAACTGGTTAATTTCATTGCTTCGTTTTTCAGTTCAAGTGAATACCGTTGACAGAAGTAGATCTGTACTGCTGTTGAGTTCCAAACTGTGACAACTGGGACTTTCTAATGCTTTCTGATTTCAAATGATTCTCTAAGTGATGTTGGTTAATAGTGAAAAGTACTTTGGAACATCTTGTTGTTACCCGGTGCTAGTTGTAATGCGGTTTTTATAGAAAGTATGAAATTATCTTATGTCGCGTACTGTTTGTCCTCTGAGTGTTCCAACGGAATATTATTCTCATATATTCCCACGCTGCAATATAGCATTAGCAACAGAATATGATATATATTTATTTGAACATCACACACTCCGTGATTGGTTGAAGAATATATATATATATATTATATAAACAGCGGTTTGAACGAAATATACCTTGGCTTCCCTGTCTTACCTTCTGCTCTTATAATAGTTTCATTTGGTTTTCTTCATTCGGTTGTTCAGATCTTGATCACAGTATCTCCTCATCTTCAGAGTTATATTAAACTGAAAAAAATAATGTGAAAACAATTATTCTGTTCCAACAGTTACTCATTCTTTATTAAAATTAAACGCGATATGCTCAGCAATTTAAAGTTGATTTATTACCATTTACTTTTCACATAAAATTCAAAATGCATCGCGTGAACTGTAGTTTATTAAGACAAAGTGAGTAATTTCAGTATACCATTGCCCTCGCATTTTATGGTGACTAATCAAGTTTGAAATAAATTAAGTTTTCAATTATTAAAATTTTTTCACAATAAATTCAATGAATTTGCGTTGAAGATAATTTTCAGTTGAAATATTTTCTATACGGAATTCTGGTAGAGCTAACCATCTCTAAATTTTAATGTATTGAACTGTAAGCTGTACATCTGTACTGTACATATCATTTGAACCGTGAAGCCTAAATTTAATGACGCCTAGTGAATGAACAGTAGTCAACCTGAACCTCATTGCTAATCGACTCGTGATTGCGCGTTTCTCAAGAGTTTCATTTCAGAGCCAAACGACTTTCTTGATTTTGTGTATACGTAGTCAACATAAGCAAGCACTTTACTTTCCAAGTTCAATAAACGCTCTAAAAGTATTTCACCCTAAATAATCTCATAGCTCCATAAGTTCTCATACTTTTGGACAGTCTAATGCATCCAAACTGCCGTCTACTTCGTAGATTAGTCACAGGACGTCTGATGGAATGTATCGACAGTTGAATTACTATTTATTTATTGATTCATTTCATAATGTGAATAGAATTTTTCAAAATTATTGCTAAGTCTCCTATTTATTTACACATTTCTTCTAAACTTGAATTTTCTTTTTTCATGTACAGTCAGTTTCGTTGTCTAGTTGAAGATACACTAGCCAGTATGACAAGTTTAAATCTTCAGTCATTTTGGTCAACATTAACTGACCCACACTTGCTTAGTTTAGGTAAACGTTTGGGTCAAGTTAATCTGACTGTGAGAGCAGTTGCTGAATATTATACAACAGGGAATTGTTTAGTTGCTCCAATTACCTTATTACGTAGAAAAGCTAAAGAAGAAGAAGAAGAAGTGGTGGTGGTGGGAAGGATGGAGAACGAGCAAAATCATACTGCAAATCAATATAAAGTCAGTCGTTATAATACAAATCACTATAAAGAATATAATTCATTACAATATTCCAATTATCCTGCTAAAAGGCGAACGCATACACCGTTAGCTGAACGTGTACGCAGTTGGAGTACAAGCGCTGAACGCGTACGTAATCAGGCTAGAATGTTAGATGCAATGTATTTAGATGTGATTGATAACTGTCAACCGGTTCAAGATTCAGTTAATGAAAAGGATATTATTCATAAGGATTTAAATGAAAAGTTCATTGATGACATGATTACATTACAACAACAAACTGATGAATTAAATCATAGTGATCATTTCAATCTGCCTACTTCGCATTTACGACGTTTAGATATGTCGTGGTGTGGGAATTACTCTCAGGTTGGTCATCTTTCCTTGTATTGCTGTTATTATTGCTATTAATAGTATTTTTGTTGTGCTAGAAAATAGGGAGAAAATGATGTCTGAGATGTTATAAAAGTGAACTGGCCCTGTTTTTTGTTGAAATAAGATAGCTCAACATTTTCTAACAATAACTTAAAATCTAAGCTTCTAGATGTATTTATGAGCAACGCTATGACAAGCCGTGGCAAACGTCCACATTATGTGATTGATTTAATGTAGTGAGAATGAATTCATCACCCAAAGTAACTTACGTCGAAGCACACGCCGAAGTTATTGTCTAGAAAGACAATGAAAGTTTTCCAATTAAATCGTCTACCTCAGAGAACACCAGAAATACCTCACCTGAGCTAAAAATCTCCATTCTGCTGATTTGAAGGTTTGAGTACTTCACTAAATATTATTTTATTATAAATTAACTGATCTCTCATAGTTATTATGGTCAGACGTCTAATCCTTAACATGAATGTACAGACTTTCATTGCGTATAAAAAGTGTGATATTGTTTAAATATTTGATTATTCAGTACAGTAGGTGATGGTTTACTGGTTAATGTCTCATTTTTGTGCAAAACGTCATTTTCCGTTCCCTCTTAGTGATATAATGAAATTTCCAGAAATCACATATTGGACAGTCTAACACATTGAAAGTGATTGAATTATTTGATTTAAGCATGAGTCATTATCGAAATGTGTCAAGTTTAAATGCGTGAATTTGAATAAAACAAAAACAACAGTGGTTTGTGCAGAATAATATGGTACCATCATTTATTTCGTTGGCTTCTCATCATCTGCTTACAGCCTAAGTAAATTACGAGGCTTATGTACAGAGAAGTTTTTTAAATGCGTGATCCAGTGTATCGCCAACTTACATGAGTAGTTAGATACCACTCACATCAACCAGTAGTGTTCGCCAGCCAGATAGAAGTGATCTAAATAGTGGACGAGCGTCTGCCTGTTTGGAATCGAGCTCACTTCAGACAGCCGAACCATTTCAATTATTAGATATGCTAATTAGTGAACCTTTTCCTCCAAATTTAGGTACTACCTAGCAACGGAACCCAGAACACGAATTTTCCCACATTTTGGACTTGTCAGTTGCAATTCCTCTCATCCACTTAGACTAAGAACCAATATCGTTTTGGTTCCTGAGACACTGGAGTCACTCTCTGTTGTTTACTTGAAAGATCGAAGTTATCTGAACAATGGAAGTTTGTTTCGTTCGTTTTGGGTTTAGATGACCAGAAGTTTGCTGGTCTGGATTTAGTTAGGAGACATGGATCAGCTACTTGGATGAACCGTTAATACGTAGAATGAAGTCTCTCATTTGCATATTACATGTTGTTAGGTGAAAACTCACAACAGCTTCCAAAGTGAAGTATGTTACATGCATATAACAAGTTTGATAAAATTTTACTCTTGGCTCCTTCAAAATTTTCAACCTGGAAGCTTTACATGGTATTTTGTCACCACAAGTTGTACGGGGAGGGGCTTGCTGACAGATTCTAGAAATGTGTCGGTTGAGGATTGGACGTGGATCAAGTGTGGAGTCAGTGGGCATTATACTAACAAGCATCTAAGCATGAAAACCTAGGAGTACGGGACAGCTACTTAATCGTAGTTTGAGTGCACGACCATTTTCCGACGCGATATGTTTAAGTTACAAGGTGGGCTGATCAATCAGCCAGCAAGACGAAGCGCTTCTGCAAGACTCAAAGTCAGATGGCATGCGCGAGAGCCAGGAATTCTGACAGGTGAACATCTCAGATTGTGATTGTAGTACTAAACATCACCGTTCTGCAGTTGATTCCAAAAGATACTCCATCTTAGTTCATTGAATACCTTGAGTTATTTTTCACCGATTGAGCTGGAGTGGAGGCAGTTAGTGGTGAGTATACCAACTCACACTGCTTGTTTACTGATGAAGCCAAGTGGATTAGCTGAGAAATAAGCTGAAGATTACGAAAAATTGTTTGTCTAATTCTTGACAATCTATTTGGCGGAAGAAGGATAATATTAGTTACACCGTTGTTATTTTTTAACGTTTTAGGAGTCAGCAGTAGGCGAAATCTGATTCATACTAATGGTAATGTATCACAACTGCAATATCATTCTCTTTTTATCTCAGATATCTTTAGTTACTCTTCATCCTGCTAACTCATATTGTAGCGACAGAAGACAAGGGCCAGCCAACATATCGTTTATTGATAAAATCAACAGATATTTGTAGATTTTTATGTACATTATTATTCATTATTGTTAGCAGAGAGGTAACGTCTTCTGATTGGTTGTTTTCCTACTGAAGGTTATACTGTCATCTCTTTGTTGCTGTTTCTTACCCAGTCCGTTGATATATCTGCTAATCGTATCCGCCCACGTTAATTCTACTGTGATTGTTTGTTGAATCTGTCTTTGTTCTTGTTTTTTTTCTCATGATCAAGATTTGGGACGTAAACATTGACCAATTTTGGCTAGCATACAGCTCTCACCATAATATTATTCAGGTTCATTTCACAATTGTTGCAAAAACTGATAGTTGTTGTTTCGATCACTATTGGCATCTTGTCTGTGTTCTATTCTGGAAACATAAATTAAGATCAGCCAACTGTCGAGTGAATTAAATCCTTCACTGCTTCAATTGCTTTTAAATCTCTTAGGAATACTTACTGCTTATGATACAAAGGTGAATAGCAATCAGCTAAGTCTAACCAACATGTCAAAGCTAAATCCAAGTTGAACACAAGTGATGATCACTGATCAACACTAAAATCATAACACCAAAACATCCTGTTTTTTTTACCTTCTGTCCTTCTTTTTGTTAAATTCTTTTTCTTTTTTTTTACAGATATCGCCTACAGCATTTGGTCATTTTCTTACAGATGCTTGTCGTAATCTGGTCACATTGCGATTGTCAAGTTGTAAATTTCTTAATGACGATTGTCTTCTACATATTGTCAATACATGTCCATATTTAAAAGGTGAGTAAACATTCGGTAATACGGTAGTGAACACATTTTTAATCTATACTATTGATTCACGTAAGTATACTAAGAAATAATCTGCAATTCTAATTAGTTGCATAAATTTCAGTAAATGAATATATGATTCACATATTGGAATTTGTTTCCTATATACGAATAATCTCTTTGTAGTGAGTTAATTTTACTGTTTAATCACACTTTTATTGTACGTCTACTCATGATATTAAACGGTACAATTTTTATTGGTTATTATTATACTACTTATTTAGTATAGTAAAGCTATTTTCTGGAAAAAAGTTAGTCGCCTATTGTGCTTATGACTACCAGAGATATTAACAAATTAGAGTTTGTTTTTTTCGGTAGGACTAAAACCCTTCTGAGTATCTGGAATGGTAGGTCAATCAATTGTGCGTCGGTGGCACAGTGGTTAGGACTCTCGCCAACCATGCACATGGTCCGAGTTTCGATCCCCTGCCGATGCACACCTGATATCTATGGTCGGCCTGCAAAATTTAGGCTACCGATATCCATGCTGAAAATTCCATACTTGTACCAAAAATACAGTGTGGCATCAAGCTGTAATCAAAAATAAAAAATTAATGGAATTGGCGGGTCACAAAGAACATTTCCAACAGCCTGTTGCTGACCTTCATCAACAGTTGTCTTCGCTCTTTACTGAAGATCAGATGGCCGGGCCGGAAAGAATCACCAACAATAAGCTATGGGAACAAACAAAAAAAGAACCAGTCGCCCAACAAATATCCAGGAGAAAATGGAGTTGGATTGGATACTCGTTGAGGAGGCCGTAAGGGAAGCGGCGAGTAAGACGTCAGTGCAAGGGTGACATGGAGGAGATGGTGTGAAGAGGAGTTGAAAGAGTATGGACTAAGATGGATGCAGGTAAAAAGTACAGCAAAAGACAGAAGCAAGTGGAGACGTGCAGTTGAAGCCCTATGTTCCACTAGGACCCCAAGGGAACAATAATATAATAATAATGGAATTACCTATATGAACTTTTGTAAGATCTTTCTAACTGATTGAAAAAGAAAGAGCATAAGTGTTGTATGATCGCACAGCCCATTGGACAACTGGTTGAATTCTGTGACACATGGCCTGTTTGAAGTTGTTTGTGGAGTTGTGTCCGTATGAAGATCCTGCCTCTGGGTACAAACAGTCACAGGAAATGTCAAGATGTGCAGTTTCTGTGGCTGATCTTTCCTAACCTCTATCTTCAAAGCGCGAAGCCTGTATAGCTGGTTTACTGGTCCTCTGAGGAAAATACCTTATTGTTGTTTCACTTCCATTCACAATCAGTACAACTTGTTCTGGGATGCCCAAAACAGTGTAAACGAATTGCATTAGTACAGCAGCTGCTTCAAGTCTAATCGCTACACGAGCAGTTTTCCTGAGGTAGTAAGACCTACAGGAACATTCATTACAGTCAGTATAGCTATCTAGGTCATAGCGATATATGGCAGCCAATTACCCAAGTTACGGTAACAGCTATATATCAAATATTAGGATTTTAGATGATGTAGAATTCAAGTTAGCAAATATTATATGTACTTATAAAAGTGTTCATTTTTATATTTAACAGAGCTTGATTTATCCTCTTGTCTGGGGATTACATCCTACGGTTTTTCAACATTGGGTCGATTAATTCACTTAACATGGATTTCAGTTTATCGAACGTTTATTACAGACAGTGGTTTATCTATACTATCTGAATTATGTCAGCATTTAAGACATGTGAATATTGGTTCGTGTGTAGAAGTACATGATATGGATAGTGTACTTCGTGAATTGACACGAAATAATCCGTAAGTAGATAATTACTACCCTTTTTTTTCTTCTCAAAGTTTTCTACAGGAAGTTTGATTGAAATTATTTTATTTAAATTGATGTAAATATGGTATTTTAGGAACTGCGAGTAGTGAAAAACCGAAATTGCAAGACTTCCGAATGTGTGTGTGTGTAATTTGAAAGCTTTGCATTGAGGCTAAATTGAAATTATTCGACAATATCCATATAGACCTAATGCAGTCAACTAAACCAATGAGACACACTAGAAACAAATATAAGGTCAAACTTCAGGTCAATAAAGCAACCAATAAGAATTCATGTCAAAGTAGTAACAGCACATAAGTTGATAAATTCACTAAATATATCCTATATAGCTTTCAGTTCTTTTTTATATGTGGAAGCGTATTAATCTTACGGATATCAATCCACCACTTGTTCCAGTTGCAATCAGATTAAATTGAAACTATCTTCCATTTGCATTTTGCTCTCAGTCGTCAAGTTATATGATCATACTAGTCAGTTGTGTTTTGAGAGGGATACAAATAGAGGGAACATCAATAATTTTTTTCCTTCACGTGGAACATAGGGCTCCAAGCTATTAGCTTGAAGTTTCTGTAGCAGTGTTTATTTACAGAGGATGGGGTTGCTAGCCTCATGCCCAACCTTTCCTCTTTACCAGAATTATTTCTGGTAAAGGAGTGTGTCTGTGGTCGGGGATCGAACCCCGGACCATGTGAATGGTCGGCGAGCGTCCTAACCGCTATGCCACCGACGCACCAACCAAACATTACTGCTTATTATTCCAAGTTGACACACCTTATATTAGATAAGTATGCATCGTTTAAAGAGAGGCAGTAGTGTAAACGAAGGAAAGGGGATTGCACTAGGGTAGATCATAGGATGTAGAGAAACAAAAGAGGAAAGTACAGAATAAATAAGGAAATGTGATTATACAGCCTAGCCGAAAATATTAAATCCATCTGTAGTCCTAATACAGCTGATATGGTGGATTTTAAGCCATATCACTTATATTCTCTAATCAAGTCGGGTTGCAATCAAGCAATCCATATTTTCTTGTATGACTGAGATCAGAAGTTAGTGAATTAAGTGATTGATGTTAAGTTTGATCATTCTTAACTTCCTCCGAAATTTATTAGATTTGAACTAATATGGCTCTCTGTAGTGAGTGGTAAGGAGGTGTAGATGCATTCACCTTTTCGGCCTTTCAGACTCCTTAAATCCTCATTATTACTCATTGTAATTACTCCCGCGCACTTCCGTTTATTGGATTTCTTTCTTCTGCCTCTGTGAATGATTATATGAGGAGTGACATCTTCACGAAGTTGTGCATTGGTAATTAGCTCAGTTCAAAAGAATGAATACTGAACAAAGAGTACTCTTTTCGATAACTTCATCATCAGGCTCTACAGTTATACATTCATTACAGTGAATGAATGAATGAATTAGTGTTATGAACAACATTAATATTGCTGTTTAAATAACATCGAATCAATATCACTACTAATATCAATAGATTACAGCTCAACAGCATCAACACAAAATAATCTGAATGTCAGAAAAATCAAGAAAGATAATATTACAAATTCATGAATTTATAGTCTCTACTGAAGGCCAAGGCAGTAGTAGGGGCTTGACTTGCTTGTTTTGAACACAGAGCACTGGTTGTTTGAAGCCAATTCTGTCTGTCTGTCTGTCTGTCTGTCTGTTTTCGACATAGAACTTTGCACAAATGTGCGGAAGTTCAAGTCGCCACATTCCGTGTAGCACGCGAAGCAAGAGAAGAAAGTACAAGAAAAGCATAATAGAAACAGTGAGCAGAGGTGTGAGACAAAGGAGTAATAAAGAAATACAAAACAATTTCATTGAAGATCATAAGTCACAGGGAGTGGATGCATCTGCGCCACTGAGAACGATTTTGAGCCATGTCACCAATTGTTTCCAACCATAGATTTTTACCGTCCCGAGGACCCCAGCCTGGAAGTCTACACCTTTCTACGTGGCTTAGACCAACTGTTGTGGATTTCATTGACTGATGCCAAGTTTTTGTTTGACCGCCGCTAGCTTTTTTCCAGCCTGACCCTATATCCGCTAACATAGCTCGTCGAGGGAGGCGATGACTTGGCATACGTAACACATGTCCTAACCATCTCAGTCGATGTAGCTTCACGACTTCGTCGATTGATTTCCCCTGTTTACCTAGAACTCTACGCCTAACCTCCATGTTGCTCACCTTATTATGCCACTTTACACGGGAAATAGAACGCAGGCACCTATGATCAAAGGCAGCTAGTCTTTTCATGTCTTCCACTCTCAGTGGCCAGGTCTCACAACCATAAAGGAGGACGGAGCGGACTGATGAGCAGTACACCCGCCCTTTGGTCGATAGTCGAACATCTCGTCTACGCCAGAGTCGGCGTAAACTAACAAATGCGAAACGAGCCCCCTGTATCCGTGCTGAGATTTCGTCAGAGATCAACCCGTTGGGGCTGATGGTACTTCCCAAATAAGTGAAGCGGTCAACGTGCTCTACCACTTCACTTCCTATTTTTAAACTAGGCGTCGATGTAGTCCAGTCCTGTAACATCATCTTGCATTTGGCGGGAGCGAATCGCATGCCAAACATTCGTAGATTGCTGTTCAAGGTGTTTAGAAGACTCTGCATTTTGTCAGCGTCTTCGCCTAGAAGGACTATATCGTCTGCATATTCCAAGTCAACGAGATTATTCCCCGGTAGCAAGTCAATCCCTGAGTTGCTGAAGTCACCTAGGGTTAAGTCCATTAACACATCTATGATGAAGTTGAATAGAAAAGGAGATAATGGGCATCCTTGACGGACACCACTGGTCGTCATCAGTTCAGATGACAGCTCGCCGTAAGCCCTCACCTGGCTGTATGAGTACGAATAGAGTGCCTTAATCAGTGCAATATATTTTCTCGGAATTCCCTTTACAGCCAAGCATCTCCAGAGAACTTCTCGATCGACAGAGTCGAATTCCGCCTTTAGGTCAAGAAATATAATGACTGTTGGACGCCGGTAGGAATGCCTATGTTCTAGAATCTGTCGGAGGGTGAAGATATGATCAATACACCCTCTTCCTGGTCTAAAGCCTGCCTGGCTCTCTCGTGTTTGTGCCTCCCGAGCACCACTCAGTCTACGCATGATTATTGAGCCTAAGACTTTAGATACTATATTAGTCAAGCTAATCCCTCTGTGATTATCACAGGAAGACTTGTCTCCCTTCTTGTATATGGGGATAATCAGTGACTTACACCAACCCGATGGGACTTCTTCTGATTCCCAGACGCTGTCTAGTACCTCAGTTAATGCAGACAGTAAGCTGTCTCCACCGTACTTAAATACCTCTGGAGTCATTCCATCAGGTCCCGCTGCTTTGCCTAGTTTCAGATTGGTGACAGCTTTAGTAACCTCAATTAGGGACGGAGGACCTGTATTTGTATCCCATTCAGGGAGGTGTTGGATGCTCGGAAGGTTGAGCGTGGCTGTGGGCCAATTAAACTGCTCCTCATAATGCTCTTTCCAACGATCCAGTCGTCTATCCTGTGAGCTAATTATAGTGCCATTTTTTTCCGAGATTGTCTCACCAATGATTTGTCTTCTCCCACCCGTTTCCCTGATGAGTCTAAAGAGTTGCCTGGTGTTGCCTATCCTCGAAGCTTTCTCCATCTCTTTGGCTTTTGTCACCCACCACTGTTCACGGTCCTTGCGGAGACTTTTCGTAAGTTTCCTCTTGTGCAGCTTTCGCTCCTCATTGAATTCGGAGCTCGCCGGAATAAGTCTTCTAGCATCTATCAGTTCGGATGAGGCGGTGGAGATCCAGTGGTTTTTACTCACCTTTGGGTTTACCTTATTCACAGCTTTTACAGCTGTATCTATGGCTGCCTGGATATTTTTCCAAGCTTCTTCAGGGTGAGCACAGCTGTCGAACACAGGTATGTGTTTAGCTAGTTCTTCCTGAAGCGAATTGCAATACGCTCTGCTGTTTTGAGCATGCGGTGCTTCGATGATTTCGGCAATTTATTAGACACCTGGTAGATTATAGAGAAGGATTCTTCCACGCTGACTTCGTGGCCGGCTTGCACCAGATGGTCCAATATCGAACTGTTGATGATTTTCACTACACCTTTGCTTAGCCATAGTGGGAGATGTTCTCGAGCACGAAAAATCAAGTTTCTAGAGCAACTGCCAATATAACTCGCCCCACAAGAGCAGTTGAATTGGTAGATACAATTTGAAATGGCTAGTCTAGGTAGTTTATCTTTCAGTCGAGGAATCACCATCGGTCGTATAGAGAATAATACGTGTAGTTCGCCAGCATTAAAAGTTCTTTGAACTGATTTTCTTAATTTCCTCGTAATTATCTCACTTGGTATATCGCCCTTGAATTGTAGTCGTATATAAAGTGGCTTCTTGTTTACAGATAGTGACTAGTCCTTTTCCGTTTTCTCTGTCATGTGTTTCTTGATAAATTTGTCGGGATAGCCATTTTCTATCAAAATATCATATACAATACTTAATTCATCTTCCATCCAGGAAGGTAGTTCAATTCACTTCTTAGAATATGAAGGAATGTTGACCAAATACTTTGAACCTTAGCAGATCTACTTAAATTACCCTCTCTCTCTCTTTCTTAGCCATATGATTACATGACTGAGAAGTTACTCCCGAAGCCCGGGATTCCACATGTCATTGAGTTTATTGTCGACATTTGTTTACTCATGAAATATGGTGGGGAGTATTCATGTCATGGCCAGCTTCAATTTAGACTTCTCGAAATTGTTTTTAGCGCCAACTGCATCTGCATTACTACTTTTAATATTTTTCACTTTTTTCAACGGGTTCATGAATTTTTAGTTTTTAACTCATGAAATGAACCTAATCTTGCTCAGTTCCCCATTAAACTTTTGTATTGCATTGCCTGATTAATAACTCACAATTGAGACTACTGATATTCAATGAAGATATTTGAACTACTGG